GTGTGTGTGTGTGTGTGTGTGTGTGTGTGTGCCTGCCTCTCACTACTGATTTGATTTGGTTGCGTGACGGTGTGTTTTGAAGCCCCTCAGGGCCGGCAGTTTTGGGTCGGGAGTCTGTGGGTTTGATTCCTCTCACAATCGTGTCCAGAGTCACTCTCCCTTAAGCAGACAAACCAGATTAGAGTCGGCTTCCCTTTTCTGCCAACGCTGTAAACTGACAGTGAATTATCCTGGTTAGTTTACACGCAGAACAGTCTTACTGGATTCCAGGAGCCGGGGATGTATTTTGTTTAGACAAGTTCTCAGCGCTGTGGCATAATCCCATCTACAATGCAGATGAAGTGTGTGGAAAGAAGAGGAGTGTTTGAGGGAAAGCGGGCATGACTGGGCATGAGACGAGAGGATAACTCCGGACAGCTGCTCTTAGGATTAACGCCACACTTTGAACTGACACTGGGATGAGATGCCACGTATCTGTGGGCTTCAGCTCATAGACCGCTCTGCTGAAAAGCTTAAACCAGCATGAGTCCTGGTCGGTTTGTGCAGGAAAATCTGTTCTTCATAAAAAGAGGGTTAATGGGGTTAATAAAAGCTTAAGTGAGAAACCCCCCTGACATTCCGATTGAAAAAAAAAATTCCTATATTTAAATTCATTTTTTTTAAAAGGTAAAAAGATCAGAATTTTTATTTTAAATCAAACAAACCCTACTGAACTAGTTATTCTATTTTAATTCTACTTTATCTATAAAAAAAAAAAAAAAAACTAACACTAGCTTTCTATTTTTTTATTCTATCTACTTGTTTTTCTTTGTGTGTGTGTGTGTGTGTATATCTATATATAGATCTATATATATATACACCTTGCTACGTGTACTGCTTTAGGCTAACCGAGCCTTCTCATTTGCACTTACATGCACTTACATTTTGATTGCTTCTATTGTCCTCATTTGTTAAGTCGCTTTGGATAAAAGCGTCAGCTAAATGACTAAATGTAAATGTAAATGTAATGTGTCTAATAGACATGAACAAGTTATTTGAAAAACATCTATGATCTTTGAAACATGTCTAGTCTTCATGCTCTATGTTGTGTATGGTTTCACTAATAATAAACGTACATTTGCATAAAGCATCCATATTTGTCCATGCCCATGTTGATTAGAGTTTTAAAAACTTGAAAAGTATTAATTTAAGGTACATTTAGAACAGATAAAATGTGCAATTAATCACAAGTTAACTCATGACGATCATGCGATTAATCGCGATTAAATATTTTAACCGATTGACAGCCCTAATATATATATATATATATATATATATATAC